CGGATTCTGCGAAGTCCAAAAAGAGCGACTGCTCGCCTCGCCTTTTTTAAAACCCAACAGCGACGAGCAATTGGCGAGCCGCTGACCAGCATCATTTGGCCGGCCGGCCGGGCGAACTGGGCGTACTTTCTGGGAAGACGAGATGTCCAAGTTTACAGGACTGGTGTTTCCTCTCTCCCTCTGCTTCTCCCCGCTCTCCATCTCTTCATCCTTTTACCCGCTCTCTGAGCAGAGTTTGTCCTCTCACAGTTTGACAGCCCTGCCAAAAAAATTATCACAAACTGGCTGTCGATCAGGCACTATCAGCATTTCTAAAACTGATAGTGCATCTACAGCAGATGACGTCTCTTTCTTCAGACACACAGCAGAGATGTTCTATATTTTCCTGTCGACGAGTCACCCCCACAAACCTGGCTCAGCTGGGGCCGGCCAGGACGCGTCCGCACGGAGGCTCTAACAGGTGAGAAGGCCGGCCCCTGGCCAGGCCCACGTAGACAATGCTCGCACACTTATCTCAACGGCTATCTCCAGGAAGTGAGTCAATCACCATTATCACACGATACAAGGACGGGGAGGAGCCCGCGAGCGAGACTTAGTCACCACGAGTGTTTGTCACCACGAAATATCACCAGCCAAACCACGACTGCTTGTTCACCACGACTCACTACACCGTGTGTACAGTGCACCATACCGGATCACCAGCACGACAAACCATCCACAGCCTCCTCCGCTCCGTCAATCCAAGTCGGCGCGTTGCTGCTGCACCTTGCTGCTGCCCGTGTCGCACCAGCTCATCCACATCGTGTAACCATCACTTCACCACAAAACGGCATCATCAAAAACACCAACCGGGTAATATTCACTCACTACTCCACTTCAAACACAAACACACACGCGCGCGCACTCGACCGACTTCACCAGCCAGTTAGGGGGAAGCTGGTGAACTTTTGTATGACAGATCGCGAGCACACGAAACCGACCCGAACGTCTCCCACTCTCACACACACACACGCGCGTGCGCTCAGAGTGCCGACTCCCGACTGACTGACGAACGAAACGAAACGAAGAGACGGTCGGCGGTCGGGCGGGCCGGTCGGAGCAGCAGCGTGTTTACAGCAACCAGCTGAGCGGACCGGCCGGGGAGGGGGCGGGAGAGGGGAGCGGGAGGAGTGGAGGGAGCGGAGGGGAGGAGGCGGTTGGACGGGAGGCGGGCGGCCACGACAATTAACTTTCTCTCTCCCTCCCCCTCCTCCTCATGCTCATGCAGCAGCAGCAGCCGATGCAGCCGAGCTGCAGCGCGATGCATTTGCCCCATGTGTGAGCAGTGCAGTGAGCATGTGTGAGTGTGTGCTGTGTGCTGCAGAGGGACCCCCTCGGGCTTCGTGTCCGCCCACACATGGCATATCCCCCACAGCGACGCTGCTCCCCCTCCGCTAGATCGAGAAGGATGGTCGTGGCATAGAGGTGCAATAGTCCAGTCAACGAAGGCAAAAACCCGTATGAACCCAAAACAAATTGAACCAAAACGTTTTTTTGCAGAATCTGGTAGAATGGCTCCGTATGAACACGGTGAATTTTAGTTTACCGCGAAATTCGATCGGGAACCCCCTTTTTTTGAACACGAAGGGCGTAAGTGCACTTCTCCGGTTTTCCGCTCATATCGCCGGTTGTTTTTGGCTTAGAGAGCTGGGACGGGGCTTGAAATGTGCGGGAGAGACCACAGAACAATATGTTTACCCGCCCTTATTGATAAGTTTTCAAACAGCTACACTGTTAACGTTTTTTCAAAATGTCTGAAAAAAGTTGTGTAAAAACAAATTTTTTTCTCTGTGATCCCGCAAGAAATGTGGAAAATGGTTCGACTAAATGTTGTAGCGTGGTCTTTTAGCTTTCAAACGCTGTGTCGGTCATCTTCCTACCTCGATTAGTCTCCGAACAGCGCGACCTAGAGTGCGCGCCGGGCGAAACGGCCCGCGCGGCCCCATAAGAAATGCATGGGCCCGGCGGACCGGCCGCCGGACGAAAAATGAAGGTGAAAAGTGAAAGGTGTCCGATTGCGCTGAAATTTACACCACTTAGTAGTACCATAGAGCCGCACGTTATACATTTTTTTCAACTCTCTGCGAATTTTTTTGTGCGAGTTATGGACAAAAAACCGGTTTTGCGACTTGCGACTGTTCAATGTGCCGCAATTATGGTTCAAACTGGGTAAACAAAAATTTCACCCCCCCTACCCCCTGTAGGAAGGTCCACGTCACAACAAGGAAGTGTTCGTTATCAATTTTCTCCCAAAACGAACGCTCTGAATTTTTTTTCCCGTGATTTCCAGAGTACAACACCTATGTGCATTTTTAAATAAATGGTCCCTAGCGGAACAGACGCGCACGAGCAAAGAAAGAAACTACATCAAAAACTTCGGCATAACCTCACCTATCCGTCGCTGTTCCCGGCTCCGCTGTCCGTTGAACGGTTACCGAGCAGCAGCGTTAAATGTTCAGACGTGCAACGCGCCGCGGTGCCGAGTTCCAATGCTGCGCCAGTGAGTGCGAGAGAGACAGATGCGCCTGCCCGGCCGCCGGAGCCGCGCGGCGAGCCGCTCCAGCCCGGCAGCGCAGCATTGGAACTCGGCACCGCGGCGCGTTGCACGTCTGAACATTTAACGCTGCTGCTCGGTAACCGTTCAACGGACAGCGGAGCCGGGAACAGCGACGGATAGGTGAGGTTTTGCCGAAGTTTTTGATGTAGTTCCTTTCTTTGCTCGTGCGCGTCTGTTCCGCTAGGGACCATTTATTTAAAAATGCACATAGCTGTTGTACTCTGGAAATCACGGGAAAAAAAATTCAGAGCGTTCGTTTTGGGAGAAAATTGATAACGAACACTTCCTTGTTGTGACGTGGACCTTCCTACAGGGGGTAGGGGGGGTGAAATTTTTGTTTACCCAGTTTGAACCATAATTGCGGCACATTGAACAGTCGCAAGTCGCAAAACCGGTTTTTTGTCCATAACTCGCACAAAAAAATTCGCAGAGAGTTGAAAAAAATGTATAACGTGCGGCTCTATGGTACTACTAAGTGGTGTAAATTTCAGCGCAATCGGACACCTTTCACTTTTCACCTTCATTTTTCGTCCGGCGGCCGGTCCGCCGGGCCCATGCTTTTCTTATGGGGCCGCGCGGGCCGTTTCGCCCGGCGCGCACTCTAGGTCGCGCTGTTCGGAGACTAATCGAGGTAGGAAGATGACCGACACAGCGTTTGAAAGCTAAAAGACCACGCTACAACATTTAGTCGAACCATTTTCCACATTTCTTGCGGGATCACAGAGAAAAAAATTTGTTTTTACACAACTTTTTTCAGACATTTTGAAAAAACGTTAACAGTGTAGCTGTTTGAAAACTTATCAATAAGGGCGGGTATACATATTGTTCTGTGGTCTCTCCCGCACATTTCAAGCCCTGTCCCAGCTCTCTAAGCCAAAAACAACCGGCGATATGAGCGGAAAACCGGAGAAGTGCACTTACGCCCTTCGTGTTCAAAAAAAGGGGGTTCCCGATCGAATTTCGCGGTAAACTAAAATTCACCGTGTTCATACGGAGCCATTCTACCAGATTCTGCAAAAAAACGTTTTGGTTCAATTTGTTTTGGGTAAAAATCTTCGTTGACTGGACTACAACGCCATTTGCGGCTGGCGGCCACTGAACAACAGCCTCCTCCCCTTCGCGCTCTCTCTCTCTCTCTCTCTCTCTCTCTCTCTCTCTC